AGTAAACACAGGATATTGTATAAAAAAATTGTGATTGGATTTGATGATTTATTTTTGAAATAATTAACAGTTTCGCAGATGTATAGATGCCTCTATAGAACTCCATCCCAATATTTTCTTCTTAATAGGTTGTCGTACAAGTTTTATTAGCACGTAATATTCAACGTAGTAAATATGTATAATATTCACAAAATTATAATTCACATTTTTATGGCCGCAATTAATAAAAATCATTTGTTTGATAAAAATAGTACTTGATACAATGATCTTCTTCAGACTTCTATGCGTTATTTGTTGTTATTTATTGCATTCTAACATTTACTAGGCACTTGGAAATACTTTCAATATTGTTATGAATCAAAGGCAATTGTGTATTACAATACTTATTATCTGAAGATTCCAAAATAATGGCTACAAAATACACTTTAAAAACACTCGCACTCTTTTACATGATTATATTCATTCTCTTTTTAACTTATCTCTAAATTTTATCTACATTTTTTTAGTTTAATATTGGCTTCCTCTTGCAAATAAGTTTTTGTCAAGATTAATTAAAATTATTAGCATACAAAGTCTTGTTATCTTTATTATTTAATAAACTAATAATATTTACGGACTTTATTTCTTTCTTTATCACACTGTACGGCGATGTACGCTATATCTTATTGAGTTTAATTATATTTAATTATAATAGATATTGCTATGTTGGCACGCATAATAAAATTGATGTACAAAAGATATATGTATATATATAAAATATAGAAATATATTTACAATAATTTAAAGTACATGATTTTGCAAAAAATATCTCGCATCTGTCAGACATTAAAAATTATCCATCACACGTTGCGAGATTGGTATATTTTATCTTCATTATCAAAAAGAGATATACGTTCCATTTTCATTATTCTGTAGAATAAAATACAGAATATTTTTATTACTAATACATAATTCTAAGATACTATAAGCGAAATTTTCGAGGTACTTAATGTTGCGAATCTTCAAACTGTAATAATTTACAATAGTGGCACTCTTCAAATGCATGTTACTTAATGATTAAGGCACTTCTTACATCTCGACTATAAATTTTATCCAAAAAATTGATAATGTAAAATTAATTCTACTATTTCAAAACAGCGTTGATTTTACATAAATTAGTATTCCAATTAATATAAATAAGAGTTGTATATATTTTTTTCCTTATATTGAAATCATGTGTTAAAAATTCGAGATATATATAGATTGAAGATTGAAATGAAATTATCGAAAATTATCAATGATCTTACACAGAACTATTAGTGACTGTAAATTTTGCCAAATCTTTAATATTTTAATTTTATTCATATAAAATGAATTTAAACTGGATATATATCCTGTGTTATTAATGTAATGAACAAGTAGAAAATTATTTAAACGATTGTTTTATCGACTAATAGTGAAATTAAATAACTTTTCTTCATCTCGTTGTGGACAAAGGTCATTGAATCAATTGTAAATATCTATTTTCTTCAGTCAAAGAGCTAAGCGAAGATGTCATATCATTGACAACCATGTTGGCACTAGCTGGTAAAGGTTGCGGCAACGACATAGGGTGCGTTGAACTGGAGACATTGGTCTCATGAGTTTGTGCGTTAACAGACCAGTTTCTGCATTGCTGAACGTATTCCAATGTCCTGCGATAAGAATCTTGTCTCATACCTTGAGGCGGTTTTATCGATGAACCCTGTTGTGACTGACTAATATCCCTACACTGTATTTCTGGCAACGATCCGTTGTGTTGATCATGATAACATTGATTCCCATAGGTCCATGCGCAATTGCAGTTGTATTGAGATGGAAGATTCGTGCGCGTTTGACAATTATGCGCGCAGGCCTGTTGTTGTTGTTGTTGCATTCTGCAATTAGTCTGTTGAGTATTGCAAAGTTGTGGAGATGTTCTCTTTGAGCCGCCACCACTGCCGCCGCTGTTGCCGTCGTTGATCTGACGGTGCACACCACTAGGATGAATGCAATTGTTGATCTGTAGACAGGGAACTGTGGTTGATTGTTGAGCCTGTTGTTGACAGCCTTGAAGATTTGACGTAATCGTATTGCCCATTGGCTTGCTCTGATTCGCGATGTTCAACTGTGAACAGTGCGGTGACATCGGACTGCATTGATTGGTCACTGGAGACTGTTGGGCAGAATGCATGTTGGGTATCTGACCATTGGACGTTACCATAGGCCTTTGACCAGTGCACTGACCAGAGGATTGATTGCATTGAGCATTTGGATGGGCAATAATCGGCGAATTAGACATGGGCGCGGTCTGTTGAATACAATGCGGTGATAACGGCTGACAGTTGTTCGTTATCCGCATCTGTACTGTATGATTGGATGGCGCACAAGTTTGATTAGAATGATGACTGGCTTGGCCGCCAGTGCCATTGCAGTTGGCGTTCATTTGACCCGTACAACCGTAACCCGGATAATATGTATGATGTGCATGGCTCTGAGGGCAATTTCTGGAAAGTTGAGCGGAATTTTGAGGCAGATTTTGTGGAGCATGTTGTGGCGCCAACGCGCCAGCCGCAGGCGACGTTAACGGCTGATCACTCAAATGAGTTGAAGCATAGTGGGAACTCGGTGACATAACTTGACCAGCAGCTGGACTTGCCACTTGTCCACCAGTAGCTTGAGATCCGTAATTCGGTGGCGGACAATATTGCGACGCGGGCTGAGTTGCACGTGAATTCGGACATTGGCTGTAAGGCGCAGACGGGGAATTCTGGTAAGTCGGACAAGGTTGTTGTGTGACTTGTTGAGAGGAATAACAGTTCTGCTGGTGCGGTTGATGCGATTGATTGTAATTACACATAGATTGCACCTGTCGCTGATAATGCAGCGGATTCGTGCATATCGGCGATTGGCAGATCGGTAAAGGACTATTGCGATAGCCAACTTGATTTCCACCCGCTTGAACCTATAATATCAATTCCGAGATTAAAAAGAATCACCGTAAGAAAAATATTATAAATCAGAATCATTCAAAAAATATACTAATATGATTACCTGATTTAAATACTGCATCATTTCATCGGGAATAACTAGTTTGTTCTCCACCATTTCACCCTCGCCCACCTCGTCTAGGATAACTTCCTGATTGGGATGAAGCTCGGGTTGAAGTTCGGGAAGTTGTGCCGATCTTGGTCTGGGCGGAATCGGTGGAGAAGTCCTTTGGACCTGATTACTGCGAATAGGTTCGGACATTCGTCGATCACTTGAAGGTTGAGTACAATGACCGCTGGGATTATTCCAATCGCTTGGCATTGCCTGAATATTCTATATAAAAATATTGTGTCGTTTAAAATTACCATTTATATGGATTTCTGCAACATATTGCAGAATGAATCGTACCTGAAGAGACATATTTTGCGTTTGGACGACAAGATTATTCGTCGAATAAGGTCCTTGAAAGTGATTTTGATCGATCCTGCTAGAAGTGGTACTCATTTGACTACTTCGCCTAGACGTACCCGGACTAATTGGATCGTAAAAGCTTTCCGGACCCATTCTGACAGCACTAACGACGCTTGCCTGGCTGCTTCTTCTGCTACTCAAATCTGCCGATCTCATGCTGCAGTAATAAGTGCTGACGGTGCTATTGCTATCCCTTCGCGGTTCGCCGTATGGCTGTAGCCTCAGTTGAAGATCGGATAAACTTGTCTGTCGCGTTTGACCACCGCCACTCTCCATTTTCAGATCAGTAATTCTTTTATTGAGCTCACCGATATTACCCTGGGGTCCGATACCGCGTATACCGCGCATGTTCGCTACGCCGATCGGCATGTTTGGCACACCTTTGGCGTTAAGTCTTCCTTTCAGACGATTCCTCGACGTAGGCGCGGGCACTTGCAGTTGCTGCTGCGATTCCATACCACCAACCTATGAGCAATCGGAACGTCATGTAAAAGGTAAAGTTGAAGAATATTAGGAAATACCTAAACTTAAAAAAAAGCCCTTAAGAAAGCCATCCTTAAAAAATTGTTTTCTATCTTAACGAAAACTATATGCATAATTCTCGAATGAAAGCTCACCATAGCACGTAACGCTACAGGAAGATCAGCAATGTCTAGATCATCCGGCTCCGCGTTCCATGGCTCTTCGGCGAGAGCGATTCCATCAGCGGTGAGAGCTCCCATCCCCGCGACTTCATCGTTACAGCCACCCACCAACGGACTACCCTGTTGCTGCATGATGCCTGGCGGACTGTTAGCTTCGCTTTCGGACTTTACACTAGGACTCGAAAGACTGGGTGTCTTCGGCGGAAGATCCTCGCTCCTGCTGGGACTATTACCTCCTGCACCAGCTTCATCACTGCCACCGCCATCGCCACCACCGCCGCCCTTGTGCTTTTTGTTCGCGTAAAACTCGGCGCCATGAACGGTCTTAACATGCTTCCTTAACGATGATGGATCTGTGTACCTCTTTGTACAACCAGGAGCTTTGCAGATATATGGTTTCTAGACAAAAAAAGATCGGCGCGATGGAATGATTAAATGATTATAAAATTAGGTAAAAATTGTACAATTTGTCATAAACATCAAAAAACAATCTAAGATATCGACTACTATGAAATTAATAATATATATTTATCATTTATATCTATTTCTCAAATTTTTCTTCGTATGTTTTTTATAGTTAAAGAAAAAAAATAAGTACCTCGCTAGAGTGTGTTCTATTTTGATGCTTTGCTCTATCACTAGCATTGCTGAAGGCTTTGCTGCAGCCTGGATATTCGCAAGTGTATGGTTTTTCACCAGTATGAGATCTGAGATGAGTCTTGAGATTCTCCAATCGTGAATAAGCTTTGAAGCAACCTTCGAACTATATTCAGAAAAAAAATTTTAATTAGTTTCTATAATATATGATATAAAAGTAAATTAATTATAATTTAAATCGGAGGAATAAAAGACTAATAAGAGTATCATTTTTATATATTAATTAATTATAATTCCTATGAATGTTATTCGACCTATAGTAACAAATATTAAGGTATATAAAAAAGAATAGAAAAAAAGAAAAGAAGAAATACAAGTTTTTAGAAGCTTATATCCTGCCTTAAAAATATTCATTCTTGACTTTCATATTTCCAGATTGTAATCAAATTAATAACTGCGTCTGTTTCTAAACATAATTCGTCGAAAAAACTTATACCATTCAATCTCTTACTAATTCAATTACTAAAATATTCATCGACATCTCGACGAGACGCATCGTTGGACAAATTACGCGAACATGCAACGAACCGAGTTTATCAATCACGCGATCATATTTCAAAAGCATCGGTCAATTATACATATAAAATAATAATGATAATAATAATAATAATAATAATAATAATAATATTTCACGTTTATTTATTCATTTCCGCGGCAAATCCCGCGTGGAAAGTGTCGAGAATGTCGAATTTAACAGTGACGATCTGATGAATTGATTCAGACTAGGATTAACGCTTCTCTCAGCATTCATGATCGGCATTCATCGTTGCATCGTGTCGGACAAGTGCCATTTCACAGTTTGCAGCATTTATTTTCTAGTAATCGCGCGTATCTTGGATATATATATCGTCTGATCGGCGAGCGTGTTTAGAGCGCGAAGAGACATCGGGTGACAAACCGCCGCGACGGTTTAATCGAGACGGATAATCTCTTGTCGACGGGCGCGTTGACACTTCGCAGAATTTCAAACGGCGATCGAGAACGCGTCGCGCGTAACAAGTCGGGAGTGACGAGTGCATGTACAGTAGATCGCCGCGACGATCATCTTTAATTAATCTACTCGCGCGCGATTTTCAATGCTCGTGATTGTACCGTCTCTTTCGGAAGGATGCGTTTTCATGGGCACGCGTGTGCATTGGTGATGAGTGCAATCGAACATCGGAAGTGCCGAATGATGTATGAGTATTTGTCGCGCGAATGCGTCGAGAGACGCGACAGTGGCTCGCGCCAACGATTCACGAGTGGCGTTGAGGAATTACTGTGTGTAACGAACTGGCCGAATGGAGGAAGATTCAGCTCATTTAATGAAGGTGAGTTTTTGATAATTTTGCAAAATTAATTAAAATAAAATTAATTAAAAGTAAAATTAATTAAAAAACCGCCATTTTCTGTATTTAAATTTCATTTTCTTGAAATTTCACAAGTTCAAACACAC